TGTTCTTTCAGCTTCAGAAATGCCGAGCATGTTCTTCCCTTTTGGTTTTCTAACTGCAGATATTTGCACATTTCATTATAGTAATTGGCTTTGTCTTCTCAAGCTACTCTTTGAAATCTTCTGTTCAGCTCTTTTATCTTGTCATTTCTTCCATTTGCTTTAGCTATTCTCCATTAAAGGACAAGTTTCAGAGTCTCTTCTGACATGCATTTTGGTCTTTTCTTCCTTTCCTGTCTTTTTAATGACCTCTTGCTTTCTTCATGGATGGTGTTTTTTATGTCATCCCACAATTCCTCTGGTTTTTGGTCATTGGTGTTCAATGCATCAAATCTGTTCTTTAGATGTTCTCTAAATTCAAGAGGGTACATTCCAGATCATATTTTGGTTCTCATGGACTAGTTTTAATTGTCTTCATCTTGAACTTGAATGTACATATGAGCAACTGATGGTGTGTTCCACAATCAGCTCCTGGCCTTGTTTTGGCTGAAGATATTGAACTTCTCTATCACCTCTTTCCACAAATGCAGTCAATCTGATTCCTGTGTGCTCCAGCTGGTGAGGTCCATGTGTATAGCTGTTATCTGTGCTGTTGAAAAAGGTATTTGCAATGAATAAGTCATTAGTCTTGCAAACTTCTATCATGTGTTCTCCAGTGTTATTTCTATCACCAGGGCCATATTTTCCAACTACTGGTGATTTTTTTTTGTTTCCAACTTTTGCATTCCAATCACCAGTAATAATCAAAATATCCTGATGGCATGTTCAGTCAATTTTAGACTGCAAAAGTTGATAAAAATCTTCAATTTCCTCATCATTGGCTTTGATGGTTGGTGAATAAATTTGAATTATAGTAGTATGAACTGGTCTTCCTTGTATGCGTATCGATATTATCCTATCACTGACAGCATTGTACTTCAGGACAGATCTTGAAACATTGCTTGTGATGATGAATGTCACGTCATTCCTCTTCAATTTGTCATTCCAAGCATAGTAGAGCATATGGTTGTCTGATTCAAAATGGCCAAAACCAGTCCATTTCAGCTCACTAATGCCTAAGATATCGATCTTTATGCATTCCATTTCATTTTTGACAACTTCGAATTTTCCTAGATTCATACTTCGTACATTTCATGATCTGATGATTAATGGATGTTTGCAGCTGTTTCTTCCCATTTTGAGTCATGCCACATCAGCAAATGGAGGTCCCAAAAGCTTTACTCCATCCACGTTATTAAGGTCAGCTCTACTCTGTGGAGGCAGCTCTTCCCCAGTCATATTTTGAATGCCTTCCAACCTGAGGGGCTCATCTTCTGGCACTATATTGGACAATGTTTCAGGGCTATTCATAAGAGTTTTCCAGTAATCTAATCAAGAAGGGAGTCCATCAGTGTTGTGTCCTTTTGCCACACTTATTCAATCTGTATACTGAACAAATAATCCAGGAAGCTGGACTATATGAAGAGGAACATGGCATTGGAATTGGAGGAAGACTCATTAACAACCTGGATATGCAGATGACACAACTCTGCTTACTGAAAGTGAAGATGACTTGAAGCATTTACTAATGAAAATTAAAAACTTCAGTCTGCAGTATTGATCCTCACAACTGGACCAATAATCAGAATCATGTAAATGGAGAAAAAGTTGAAGTTGTTAAAGATTTCATATTACTTGGTTCCACAATCAACACCAATGGAAGCAGCAGCCAAGATGTCAGATGATGTATTGCGCTAGTCAAATCTGCTGCAAAAGACCTCTTAAAAGTGCTGAAGAGCAAAGATGTCTCCTGGGAGACTAAGGTGCACCTAACCCAAGCCATGGTATTTTCCATTGCCTCATATGCATGTGACAGCTGGACAATGAACAAGGAAGACCAAAGAACAATTGATGCTTTTGAGTTGTGGTGTTAGCAAAGAATACTGAAAGTACCATGGACTGCTAAAAGAACGAATAAATCTGTCCTGGAGGAAGTATAGCCAGAATGCTCCTTGGACTCAAGAATGTCCAGACTTCTTCTGTTGTACTTTGATCATGTTGTCAGAAGGGACCATTCCCTGAGAAGGATACATGCTTGATAAAGTGGAGGGTCAATGGAAAGGGGGAAGACCCTCGACAAGATGGATTGACATGGTGGCTGCAACAATGGGTCCAGGTACAACAGAGATTGTGACACTGGCACAGGACTGGGTGGTGTTTTGTTCTGTTGTACATAGTATAGCTATGAGTCAGAGCTGACTCAATGGCACCTAACAAGGGTAGTGTTGCTTGCAATGCTCTATAGGTAGGGGAGATAAACTAATATTTGGAGAATGGATCGATTCTATTAATTAATAAAAAAATTTAATTCTTAAAAAGGTTATTTTTCACTGATGTAATATTTTATTTGTGTTGTTTGGGAGCCTCTTGCAGTTGAGGACAGTGGGAGAGATGAATGTAACAAACCTTCCTGATATCCTATGAACAATTTCCAGATCTTTTAATTCCTTTAATCTCCCTGGGGTATTTTCTACTTGGTATATTATCCCTAGAGTTGCAGCTGGGAAACCCACAAGAGGGATGAAGTAATTGTTGCTGGAATTGAGGGAGCTTGTCAAGATTGGGTTCCCAGTGGCTGCAAAAGAAAATATAAATTTCCATGTGGGGATTCTGCGGTCTGTCCTGTTTTTATTGCACCAGATATACCCTTCCCAAGAATCAGCTCATCCTTATTCTTGTACATTCTGGAAGACAAAATTCTTCCATTTTTAATTTTTCTCATTACCTCTGAATAAGACTTGGAAGCAAAAGTCTATGCCCAGAAGGTTTCTGATATGAAAAACTGGTAAGTTTAATGAGATGTGAATAGATTTGCAGAACGAAAGAGAAAGTATATCTTTATATAGCAAGACAACTGTAAGCCCCACACAATGTCTCCAAGCATTGTCTTACATATAGTAAGTACCTAGTAATCATTTGTGGAATCAATTAATGATTAATTAATTAAAGGTAGATGAAGGTTTGAAATGGTCACTGTTTCTTTCTATTGTACATAGGGTCGCTATGAGTCAGAACCAACTCAAAGGCACCAAACAACAACAAAGATGTGAAATTATAGATACTCTGATGGCTTAGTGAAATGAAGACTAAATTTCAACTATAGAAATGTTCATTGAGGTCATGACTCTGCTAAAGCTCTGTGTCTAGATAATGGGGATATGTGACCTATGTAATACAGAGCTCTGGTGGAGCAGTGAAAGAGCTCAGCTGCTAACCAAAAAGGTCAGGCCCCTCTGTGGGAGTACTAGTGGCAGTCAGCTTCTGTGAAGATCTGTAGCCTGGAAACCCTACCAGGCCATTCCATTCTGGCCTATAGGGCCGCTGTGAGTTGGAATTGACTTGATAGCAGTGGATACGACCTATGTAATAGAGTTCTTGTAGAGATTAACATATATGGAAACATTCAGTGTGATATAGATTAACTTGATAGTGGTAAACCTTGTCTTCATATTTGTATTTTCTTGATGAAAAGAAGTACCATTATTTTACATGGTTACAGACGTTACTCAGCTGATTTCATGCACTTCTGACAGTTTCCAACATGTTTCCAATAAGGAAAAAATTTTACCTTCTGGAAAATTGAAAGACAAGGGTAATGTCTTTACTTACTACCATCACCAAGTGATGTACCGATGTTTACCATTTTGCATTCAAAGTATCTTCAAGTATCTCTACTCTTTCTAAACTTTTTGAATGCCTACTATGTGACAGGAGCTGTGCCAAGTAATGTGGTACAACTCAATCTATTTTTCTTGAGACCATATCACCCTGTCAGCCCAAGAGTACCTACTAGCAGTAGGCTATTATGTTACCAAAATAAATCCAAACTCACTGCCGTTGAGTCAGATCCTACTCATAGTGACCCCTCGTTGGGTTTCCAAGGCAGTTATCACTACAGAAGTAGACTGTCCAATCTTCCTTCCGAGGAGTGGCTGGTGGTTTGAACCGCCAGCTTTCTGGTTAGCAGTCAAGTGCCTTAGGCACTATGCCACCAGAGCTTATGTTGCTCATACTCTTCATGTAAGTTTTTTAGAAGCTAAACTTTATACTTGTTAAGCACATTCATATATTTTTCTTTTAAGTCTTAAAAGATAGGATCATTTGTCCCCATACTGGAAGGCAGTAATGGTTCAGTAGCAGAATTCTCCAGTCTGTGGAGACCTCCGTACAATTAACATCCGATTTACTTGAAGCACAGCCACTACCCATCTGTCAGTGGAGGCTTGCATGTTACCTTAATGCTAAACAAGTCTCAGCAGAGCTTCCAGACCAAGGTGTAGGAAGAAAGGCCTGGTTATCTACTGCCAAAACTCAAGCAATGAAAACCCTATGGATCACAATGGGTTGATCTCTAACTGATGTCAGGGATGGCCCAGGATCAGGCACCATGTTTTTCAGTTGTCACGGAGATGCCATGAGTCACAGGTGACTGGACAGCAGCTAACAAGAAAACATCCCCATTTTACGGTCTCTGTATGATAGGTGTCTGACCATTCCAAGCAGGATGATTCATATGGTATTAGACTAATATTTGAACAAACTTTCTCATTTAAATATCAATGCTTACCATGGAATCGTTTCATGTGTGAGTCTCATGATATGGTCCAACACACAGCTGACAGGCAGCCCCACACAATGCAGAATATGCAAAAGTTAGAGTCAACTTCATAAGCAGGGAGAGATGTCTGCATAGGGAGGGACAATGTATACTAGTCCCACGGAAATTCTGGATATGGTGAAGTTCCAGAAAAGGAGTATATGTGGAGATACAACTGATGGAGTGATGGGGTGAAAGGACACACTTGAGGTTCAGTGAGCCTTGGGAGAAAGCATCACAGACGAGATAGGATAGCCTACCTGATAAATGGAACTAGAATATGTGAGCATTTACAAATTATAAAGGGAAATCTTTTTCTGGAAAAATTATTTCCTCCTCTGGGTTTTCAGGCAGATATATCCAAGCGATGGAAAAGGGAAACAAAACCAGTGTCTCTGAATTTCTCCTCCTGGGCTTCTCCACTTGGCCAGGGCAGCAGGTGCTCCTCTTTGTACTTTTCCTGTGTCTCTACCTAACAGGACTGTTGGGGAACTTGCTCATCTTGCTGGCTATTGCCTCAGATCATCACCTCCACACACCCATGTATTTCTTCCTCGCCAATCTGTCCTTGGTAGACCTCTGTCTTGCCTCAACTACAGTTCCCAAGATGCTGCTGAACATCCAAACACAGGCTCAGTCCATCTCCTATCCTGCCTGCCTGGCTCAGATGTACTTCTGTATGATGTTTTCCAACATGGACAATTTTCTTCTCACAGTGATGGCATATGACCGTTATGTGGCCATCTGTCACCCTTTGCATTACTCCACCATTATGACCCCCCATCTCTGTGCCTGCCTGGTGGCTGTTCCCTGGGTCATTGCCACTTTGAACCCCCTCTTGCACACTGTTATGATGGCCCATCTGCACTTTTGCTCTGACAATGTCATCCACCATTTCTTTTGTGATATCAACTCTCTCCTTCCTCTATCCTGTTCTAATACCAGCCTTAATCAATTGATGGTTCTGGTTGTGGTGGGGCTGCTCTTTGTAGTACCTTCAGGGTGTATCCTAGTATCATATGTTGGTATCATCTCTACTGTGATGAAAGTCCCTTCTACTCAGGGAAAACTTAAGGCTTTCTCTACCTGTGGATCCCACCTTGCCTTGGTCATTCTTTTCTATGGAGCAATCACAGGGGTATATATGAGTTCTCCATCCAATCAGTCAACTGAAAAAGACTCAGCGGCATCAGTGATTTTCATGGTAGTAGCCCCTGTACTGAATCCCTTCATTTACAGTCTAAGAAACAATGAACTAAAGGGGGCTTTAAAGAAGGTCCTGGATCAAAGCAAAATCTTCTCCCTGTGATTTTTACAGCTAAGGAGTTCTACAGAAGGAATATCCTAATGATATTATCATTTCTATCTCATTATAATTACAAAGTTATTATTAAATATCTAAATAAACTTGACATAATCTAAGTTTCCTATAACATCTTGAAGTGACATAATCACAGCCATTATCCATTTGAGTTCTATTAGAGATTATTGATATGGACAAATATTGATATATAAATCCCTGACAATTACAATGCAAACATGAAATCAACATTTAAATGCATAGTGAAGATACCACAAGCATCTCAGATCAACACAGGGATAAATACGGGGAGTGCAGAATAGTCCATCCTCTTTCCAGAGTGGATAGAGTAGATAACTGCATTGTCATGCATGAAAAACACTAGAGAATAAAGTTACATGAAATCAAATGTCCAAACCATAGTTGCAATGTGAGGTCCAAGGGAGAAGAGACTGGTGAAAGCTGAAGAGGTAAAGGAAAGCTGCAGGGAAAAGATAACACTTAACCTAGTCTTGACTGATGGATGAGTTTACATAGGAATGAAGGGAATGAAGAGAACATTCAAAACACGTGAGAGAGATTTGTAGCTAAAAGGAGTAAAGTATATAATGAATAAATTAATCTGACTGACTCCATTGGTCCATATTAGGAACTGGCAAAAGAGATTGATATTCCTCACACTAATGTTTTATATTTATTCATATTTTATAATATATTGTATGGATTTCTTATAGACTGTCTTTTATTCCTTTATGTAAAAAGCAGGATTTATATCTATGTCTATGGGTATATCTGTATCAAAAGCTATGTCTACGTAAATATTTTCACTGGTCTATAAAGAAATACCTGAGAAACTATTAACCATTATTTAAAAATTTTTAAATATGTACTGTTATTCACTCTGAAACATGCATAGGTGCATGTGTTTAACGTTGTTGTTAGGTGCCGTCGAATCAGTTACAACTCACAGTGACCCTATATACAGAACTAAACGTTGCTTGGTCCTGTTTCCTCACAACAGGTTTGTTTGAGGCCACTGTTGCAGCTACTTTGTCAGTCCATCTTGTTGAGGGCTTCCTCTTTTTCATTGACTGTACTTTACCAAGTGTGATGTCCTTCTCCAGGGATTTATCCCTCCTGATAACATGTTCAAAGTAAGCGAGATGAAGTCTCACCATCCTCGCTACTAACAAGCGTTCTGGTTGTACTACTTCCAAGACAGATTAGTTCACTTCTCTGTCAGTCCATGGTATACTCAATATTCTTCACCAAAGCCATATAGTTCAAATGCATTAACTCTTCTTCAGCCTTCCCTTTTCATTGTCCAACTTTCACATACATATGGTGTGATTGAGAAGAGTATGGTTTGGGTCAAATGTACCTTAGTCTTCAAACTGACATATTTGTTCTTTAACATTTTAGAAAGGTCTTTTGCAGCAGATTTGCCCAATTTAATATATTATTTGATTTCTTGTCTGCTGCTTTCCTGGGTGTTGATTGTGGCTCCAAGTAAAATAAAATCCTTGACAAGTTCTTTTTTTGTTTGTTTGTTTCTGTTTACCATGATGCTGCTTAGTGGTCCATTTGTGACAATTTTTTTTTTTTTTTTAATGTTGAGGTGAAATCCATACTGAAGGCTGTAGGCTTTGATCTTCATCAGTAAGTGCTTCAAGTTCTCATCATTTTCAGCAAACAAGACTGTGCCACAGATTGTTACTAAGTCTTCCTCCAATCCTCATGCCACATTCTTCTTTTCACAGTCCAGCTTCTCAGATTATTTGCTTAATATATAGATTCAATAAGTATGGTGAAAGGATGCAACCCTGGTGCACACCTTTTCTGATTTTAAACCGTTGTTTTTAGTAATTATCTTTAATTTTTTATTAACATATTAAGGCTCATCCATCTCTGCATACTCCCACAAACAAAACAAGTAACTTACCTTCCCTCCCTCTCCCTGAAAATTCTCCTCTTAAGGTCATCCTGTATTTTATTTCCAAATTGTTATTAGTGTAACTTTCTTTTGAATGCAACTTTTATTCTTGTTTCCAAATGTCAGCCAATATGCTAGTAGGTATCTAACCCGTTAGGGCTTGCTTTTTGATATTATCAACAGAAATTA